AAAAAGAAAGGAATGAAGAAGAAGAAGCGAAGAAAAAGAAGAAGAAGAAGAAGAAATAGAAGAAGAAGAAACGAAAAGAAAGAAGAAGGAGAAGAAACGAGAAGAAGAAGAAACGAACAGAAAGAAAAAAAGAAGAAACGAAAAAGAATAAGACATGAAAAAGAAGAAAAGAAAAAACAGAAAACGAGAAAGAAGAAGAAACAAAGAACAAGAAGAAGAAAAAGAAGAAGAAGAAGAAGAAGAAGAAGAAGANAAAGAACAAGAAGAAGAAAAAGAAGAAGAAGAAGAAGAAGAAGAAGAAGAAGAAGAAGACGAAGAAGAAACGAAAAGCAAGAAGAAAAAGAGGAAGAAACGAAAAGGAAGAAGGAGAAAAAGAAACAAAGAAGAAAACGAGGAAGGAAAAAAAGAAGAGAAAAAAAAAACGAAAACTTACCTCGAAGTTTGGGCCTTTGTGGGGATGGCGCACAATAGTCTTCGAGGAAGACAGGATGACGACGATGGGGTGGCCGCAGGTCGACGACGATGGCGGCAGCAGGTCGACGACGACGACGACGAGGCGGGAGGGCAACAACAACAGCACGCAGACACCTACTGCGACTGGTGGGTGGCGGAGGGCCGGAGAGTGGAGGGCGCAGGGCGAAGAGCGAAGGGCATGGTGCACGGGGTGAGGCAAACCAGCCCAGGATTCAAATTCAAATCTTGGGAGCTACGTGCGCCTCCGATCACACCGATGATCGACGTCCTACATCAAAAAAAAAAAATTCTCAAAAGGGCCTTACAAGGCCCCAAAAAATAGCGCACTGCCAGTCAAAATCTTTTTCGGCCTGTGGGCCCTCGGGCAACGGCGCGGGAAAACTTTTTAACGGTCATTTTGGGTGCGGCCCTAAGGAGGTCCGGGTGCCTGGCCGGGGGGGTTGCACGACCGTGCACTCCGAGCACCATTCCGGGTGACCTCGGGTGGCCCGGGCGCCTGGGTGGGAAAGCTAGAATGCCGTATAAAATGCAATTCAGTTTTTGCATCCACAAATCCCTGCTGCATACAGATTTGAGTTTGAAGCGATATAGAAGATCCCTGCTGCATACAGATTTATAGAAGAGACCAATTCTTATTAATTATTTCCTGACCACATATATAAGTCATGCATTTACCGCCACGAATAATCATTGTCCAATATACCAACCAACTGGCATTTACTGCCAATAAAATATGTTTCTATATCCAACATTGAAAGCAAACTCAATCTTATACATACGGAACCCTCCCATTTGCTGTCCTTCTTCAACTGTGCAGCCGAAACCATGGTACACCACCTATAATCATCACCACCATTCACTAATGATACTTGTAGCAAATACCCCAACACACTTGTGTGATCCACATCTCAATTATGTTGGACAACCCTCAAATTCCTTTCCTTACAACTGATAGCCAGTAATATTGACTGCAAAAAATAGTACTTTGTGTCCAGCATTGCAGCCTTCGATGGTACCATCCTCATTTGCTGCTTCCTTCACCAACTCATCAGGAGGCTGAACCCCAAACATCTATCTAGGATTCATCTGACGATGGATAAGTACTCCCTTCATCGTCAAGACTCTAAGATACTACCGAGAAGAGTGATGAACTGTACTCGCGCCGGCAAAGCTTCAACTAATTCATTATCACTCTATTTCATTCATCGAATTCCATTAGGATTCTAATTCTAACTCGTATTTGTACTACAACAAATCATGGGTGTAGACGAAAAAATAGTGGCGATTATTACCCAGCTTCCGAGTCAGCTGTGCTCAAAACTGGGTAGCATCTCATCAAAGCCCCCCCAAAAAAACATAGATTCCCAATTCAAGGTAATGCATGCCATTATAGGAAGAGACATATGCCTCTTCAATCCCATTAGTAGAATCGTCAACTAAGATTAGAGGGGCTAAGACAGAAACCCTCCTTCAAAAGAGATGAATGTCGAGTGCTTGCCAAAGCAGGCCTGTATAGTATATATGGTGAATATTCTCAACTTTCACCCACTCATACTCACCGAGTCACATGACATCAAATATGAAGGGTGACAGACCCCAATCCCAACTGCTTTCACCAGCTCGAGGTTTCTTTATTCCTGCTTCATAAGAGGTAGAAGG